AAAAAAAAAAAAAAAAAAAAAAAAAAGAACAAGAGCCCAAATCAAAGAAAACAAAACTGAGGCAATGCAACGCAAAAATCTGCACGTCAAAAATCTATGAGCCAGTAAAGCAATTATACCCCAATAAAGATTTTTTTTTTTTTAAAAGCATCTGGAAATATTAAAAAAAAAAAAAAAATCCATGAGCCAGAGGCAAATTACTTCTCTGCAGACCTCTTGAGGCTGTATGTTCTCGATTCATCACTATGCTTCTCCTCTGTGAAAGGAAATCCAGGATCCACAACCTGCAGTACTTACCTCAGTGGTTCACTGTCAAGAACAAATAGGTGGATGTGTAAGAAAGATCTGCCATCAAAAGAATGCTCCATAGGAGTATGTGGCTACTGTTATTGTTTTCCTCCTTAGAGACCACGTGTACCTCAAGATTGCACAGGACGATTCCAATGGAGTGATAAAGAGTACTTTGGGGGCTTCCCTGGTGGCACAGTGGTTGAGAGTCCGCCTGCCGATGCAGGGGACACGGGTTCGTGCCCCGGTCCAGGAAGATCCCACATGCCGCAGAGCGGCTAGGCCCGTGAGCCATGGCTGCTGAGCCTGCGCGTCCGGAGCCTGTGCTCCGCAACGGGAGAGGCCACAGCAGTGAGAGGCCCGCATACTGGAAAAAAAAAAAAGAGTACTTTGGATGCCAAGGTTATTTTTTTTTCCTTGGTTGGTGTTTCTTAAATACCCTCTTGATGTCTTAAGAATTCTTTAAATAAACCATGAATCAAGAAGCTGAATTTTAACTCAGGTCAAAGAATTGACTAGATGCTATTAGTCTAACATTGGGTGAAGCATATGCACACCCTGGAGTGGATCAAAACACTGCACCAGGGACTTCCCTGGTGGCACAGTGGTTAAGGATCTGCCTGCCAGTGCAGGGGACATGGGTTCAAGCCCTGGTCCGGCAAGATCCCACATGCCGCAGAGCAACTAAGCCCGCGAGCCACAACTACTGAGCCTGCGCTCTAGAGTCCGTGCTCCACAGCAAGAGAAGCCACAGCGATAAGAAGCCTGTGCACCGCAACGAAGAGTAGCCCCCCTCGCTGCAACTGGAGAAAGTCCGCGCGCAGCAACAAAGACCCAATGCAGCTGAAAATAATAATAAATAAATTTTAAAAACAAACAAACAAACAAATACCGCACCAAGAGATGGGCCATGGTGAGTGTCAGTAAAATATTAATCCAGGTAATTCTATCTGGGGGTGCCTTTGGCTTATAGGCTGCCTAATTTTAACATGGTCCCAACTAATTTATAACTAACCTGAGGCACAATAATGCCACAGTGTGGCTTGAAGTTTAACCAAAATTACTTAAACAGAACTATATCAAAGTTATAACCAACCCGGCCTCGCATAGACACCTTCACCATACCTCCTTACATCTGTATGCCAAATTATAGTTTGTTTGTTATATGGGTTAGGAAACAAAAGATCGATCATTCTGTGATTTGATTAATACTATGTTGTTTTACTGAGACAGCTGTTCACTTGATAGAAATACAACACAAATTTATTTAGAAAAATAACGTTTGACACTGGTAAAGGGGTGTGAAGCAAGTGGGGAATTTGCTAAATCCAGTCATATCAATGACTAGTGTGGCTTCACATGAACTAGATTTATAACTCAGAACTAGGATATCAATTCAGAAAACAATAAATTTAGAAGTTTATCATACCATCAAGTGGCCAATGGGGCCGCTCTGTGGTAAGACTAGTTTTATCTGAGCTATAAAAATTATTGCAGGCAATATTATCACTAATGGCAATAATTTGGCAAATGGAAGTCAATGTACACAGACAGGTAATGACTTACTGTGCTCGTGCAGTTTAGATGATTGAAGACCCAATGTAAAGGCTTCTGCTGTAATGAGGATTAACCACACAGTAATTAATGGTAGCCTGAAGTGGAACGGTAATCAGGTAGCGGAGAAAGTAATAAAAATGTCCCAACAAAGGTACTCAAATAAGGGCAATAAACGTTTTACCGTGACAATCTGGAATTGTAAAATGGTCCAGTGCAGACCTAGATGTTGTCCCAGATTGTAGAGTGGTAATACCAAACCACCACATGCACAAAAAAGGGATGCAATTTATTCAGTGACAATTATATTCCTCCCAAATTGCAGAGCTGAATAACGATTCTACTGAAAGTATGAATGCAACTCCGCTGAATGACCAGTGGAAACATTCATAGTTTTATATCATTAATAGGTGGGAAAAAGGGACTTCCCTGGCGGTCCAGTGGTTAAGACTCCGCGCTTCCACTGCAGGGGGCGCGGGTTTGATCCCTGGTTGGGGAACTAATATCCCGCATGCTGCGGTGCAGCCAAAAAATTAACATAAAAATAAATTTAAAATAGGTGGGAAAAACAAGAGTATATAAAGTTTGCCTTGGCAGTCTGGGATATGGTGATATTCCTCAAGACCTGCCCTAAATACAGAATCACGGAAAACTCAGTTGATGACAGATGCAGAGAAGGTATGGTGACTCTGACCCAAACATAAAATAGGATAGTACATCCCACTGCCTTATATACAGGTGGATGGCAGATTTTACGTTAGCCATGTGTTTATCAAAGGCCATTATAAATTATGCTGTAATGGATCTATTACCAATCAACAAATCCTGGCTGCGAACAGAACTGGCTACAAGGAACAGAATACTCAACTATGACGCTTAAGTTGTAAAGACCATGATGCCAGGGCACTGAGCTGGTGTCTCTGCAATTCTCTTGCCTTTCCCTCAGGGTACAAGTTAACTGTTACAGTTCTTCGCATCTCATTTTCTTTTTTTTTTTAATTTTATTTATTTATTTATTTATTTTTGGCTGCGTTTGGTTTTCGTTGCTGTGCGTGGGCTTTCTCTAGTTATGGCAAGCAGGGGCTACTCTTCGCTGCAGCGTGTGGGGTTCTCATTGTGGTGGCTTCTCTTGTTGAGGAGCATGGGCTTTAGGCGCACGGGCTTCAGTAGTTGTGGCATGCAGGCTCAGCAGTGTGGCTCATGGGCTCTAGAGCGCAGGCTCAGTAGTTGTGGTGCACGGGCTTAGTTGCTCCGCGGCATGTGGGATCTTTCCAGACCAGGGCTCAAACCTGTGTCCCCTGCATTGGCAGGCGGATTCTTAATCACTGCACCACCAGGGAAGTCCCTCGCATCTCATTTTCACACTAACGCATTGAAAAGCAGGAAATGTGAGTGGAGGCAAAATGCAGCTTTCTTCACAAAATGTTCTCTCTCTGGTCAAAAAAAGAAAATCCTTCCAAGAACCTTCCTTCAGGAGACTTTCTTTTACATCTCATTGGCCAGAACCAATGAGATGAGCCCATCATAGACCAGTCACTGGTATTACCAAGGAATTATTATAAAAGGCTTAAACTAACCCAGACACCTAAGTACACTTTGTGCACCTGCTCAAGAACTGAATAGAACTGTGGTTCCTGAGCAAGGAAGAAGCAGATGCAGGGAAGACTGTTGGGAAGGTAATTAACAGTGCCTGTTACACTGGCCAACAGACCAGAGAGTCCACGGATGGTAAAACGAGGAAATAAAATTCATTATACTTAATGAAAATATCACAAAAGTACCACAGAAAACATGTTTCCCCTTAAGAAGATCTAATACAAGGTACATACTAAGAAACGTGAAAGAAAAACCCATTGTCGAAGTAAATGCAGGGACTTCATTCCATAAATATTTACTAAGTGCCTACTATGTGCAACCTGCTGGTCTAGGTGCTAAGGGTACAGTGGTGAACAGAGAGCTTACACTCTAGTGGTTCCTGATATAAAAATTGTGCATTTTACAGAAATGAACAGCAGTCATGCCTCTGTAGTAATTCAGAGACTGTACCTTCTACACATTGGCCAAATTGCAAAAAGAATGAGCTGGTAGAATTATAGAAAGTTCACCACACATTAAGTTATTAAAAGAATATTAAAATATTGATGATGCATATTTGATAAGGTATTTTTCTAGGTATTCAAAATATTTTAATGTACATTATCTTTACTTCCCCATTGACTATGAAGAAAGAAAGGGTAGATATTATCACACAGGCCCCTGAAGGATGAGAACCTAGGTCTCCTGTACCGCTCAAATCATTCAGCTTTCACTACAAACAACAACTTTCCTAGAAATAAGTCTCTAAGATTAAGCCTGCTCAAAGATAGAGGCAAAAGTTCTTAGAACATGCGAGAAGACGACCCATCTCCTCATTTAAATTTATTGTGGCTGAATGATGGCCTATGAGAGAAAGATGTGATAAAGCGATAATTGGGGGTACAAATACACACCCACACATCTTGGATTTAACTAGGGTCTCTGCTGTGTTAGAAAATAATTTACTGGAATTTTACTAGAAGAAATAGCCTTCAGGACAGGGGGTGGGGTGGGATTAAAAAAAAAAAAAAAGAAAGAAAAAAAAAGAAATAGTCTCCAGGGAGCTTTGAACTCCATTGTCTGGCTGGGTTTCCTTGAGTGTGTCAAAGAGAAAGGGGACCTGAAAACTGCCAGTCCCACAGTTATGTTCTATTTGCCTCAATTCTCAGAGAATAAGGAAGAGGGCAGACCCATATATATACTCAGAAGCAATGGGCCCCAGAAACCAGAAGAAGGTCATCAATCATTCAATTTCAGGACAATATTTAATCAATAAAGACCTTCTCACAGAACAGAGAATCCAACACCAAACCCCTACATATACCAGCTTCCAATATAAGAAAAAAATCTATGATGTAAGTTAATTTTCCACTTAGTAATGGACTGCTTAGAGGTAAGAAGATTGCTCATCTTCTGATCCAAAATAGAGCAGAGGAGACTCTAGAAAAGGTCCAAGTGGAAACTGTCATTTCAACAAAGTAGGGGGGGTTTCGGGGTTTTAGGAGAAGTACATGCATGAAAGGAAAAATATCTTGACTTACTTTTTGGTGAGCCGAGGGTCCAAAGGAGGGTGCTGTGCTCCATACACGGGCTGGATGCTAAAAGCAAGGAAAAAAGGAAGAAGCAAGTTGTCAGGAAAGTAAATATGTTGGGTGAGTACCACCTGAATCACAACACTGGAAGGGACTTTGAGAAGCAGGCTGTCTCCAAGAACAACTATACCCAAGCCAAAGGATAGCACCCTACTCTTTAAAAAAAAAAAATGTTCATCTTCCCTGGTGAGGTTTCAGTGCCCTACGTAACTGACTGTCAGGAAGTTCCATCTGTAATGAAGGCAGCATGGAAAGGCTTTAGAGTTGGAGAGAACAGTTCAAATGCCAGTTGTGGCATCTATTACCTCTATAAACTTGCATTAAACTACCTGAATATGCTTTCTCATCTATAAAAATGGAATATCACCTACCCCAAAGGACCACTTGGACTACAAGACAGTGAAGCAACACCACAAATCAAGAGTAGAGTGACCCACGGGACTCTCACACACTGCTGGTAGGGGTATAAAGAGATACGACCACTTCAAAAAAGTTTGGCTGTATCTAGGAAGAACAAAATATGCATACCCTAAGACCCAGTATTTTCACTCCCAAATATATATCTTTAGAGAAATATATAGATATGTGTATCAAGAGATACATATAAAAGTGTCCATAGCATTATGGATCCTTTTAGCCCCAAACTAGGAACAACCCAAGTGTCTATCAACAGAGAAATAAACTGTCATGTGTTCACATAATACTTTACGGCAACGTAAATAAATGGAGTAAGGCTGAAAGTAATGTGAATAGATCTTACAAATGTCATGTTGAGCAAAAAAGCAAAGAATAAAAGAGTAGATACTGTATAATTCTCTATATATACACTTCAGAAACTGACAAAAACGATTTCTATTATCTAGGGATGCATCCATAGTAGTAACACTATAAAGAAAGCAAGGAGTGATTAACATAAAAGGACGTGGTTATCACTGAGGGGAAGGAAGGAGGTGTGAGGGAGAACAGACATAGGGGGATTCTGGGGTATTCACTTTGACATTATTTATCGAGTATTATACCAAACAATTGTTTCATGTACTTTTCTGTAGTAGTTCACAGTTTAAAAAAAAAAAAGAAAAAAAGAGTGACCTGAAAATAATTGTTTATCAAGCCAAACTGTTAAGTACAAAGGTGACAGAAAAACATGTTTCAATATGTAAGAACTCAGGGAATATGGTCTCCCTGACTCCTTCCTGAAGAAACTACTAGAGGAAAAACTTCTATTAATAATGAAATAAATGGAGAAACTATGGCAAAAGGACTGATGGAGAGCCATTTAATTGATTTTACCTTAAGCCTGAGTCTTAAATTTGAGGCTTTATGGTTACGGAAGAGAATGTAAAAATAATGTAATTGGCAAATGTTAAAGTGGGATGGAGGAAAAAGTATATTGAAACAAGTAGACTGATTTCCTCATCTTTTGCTGACAAGGCTCAAAAGACATTTAAAGCTGATAGCTCAAGTAATATAGGTAATAAGTATGTTTCAAGATATAAAATAAAATAAAAATAATATAATCAACTAAAAGCAAGTGAGGAGGAGGCAGGAAATATAACTACTAATTTCATCATTACTCATGGCAGAGAGTCAATAGATACTGTCTGAAGAAATATGGTAAAAAGTTATAAGCAATCACTAGAATAAAAAGATAAACCTTTCAAATCATCAGAATACACACACACACACACACACACACACACACACCTCCCAAAGCAAGTACTGTCCTGATAGTGAAAGATTTTTTTAAAATAAAATATTAAAATAAAATATTAAAAACAGAACTAAAACCAAATATATCAGTCTTTCCAATAAATATAAATGGGCTGAACTTTCCTATTAAAAGAAAAAGGATTATTATCAATGTAATGTATAAATTACAGTACATCTGTTAAAAAGAATTAGGCAGTTCTACATCCACTGACATGAAACATTCATTGAAAAAAGATGCAGAGGGCTCTTCCCTGGTGGTGCAGTGGTTGAGAATCTGCCTGCCTATGCAGGGCATATGGGCCGGAACCCTGGTCCGGGAAGATCCCACGTGCCACGGAGCAACTAAGCCCATGCGCCACAACTACTGAGCCTGTGCTCTAGAGCCTGTAAGCCACAACTACTGAGCCCATGAGCCACAACTACTGAGCCCATGTGCTACAACTACTGAAGCCTGCGCACCCTAGAGCCTGTGCTCCACAACAAGAGAAGCCACTGCAATGAGAAGCCCGCAAACCACAATGAATAGTAGCCCTCGCTCTCCGCAGCTAGAGAAAGCCCACGTGCAGCAACGAAGACTCAATACAGCCAAAAATAAATATATAAATAAATTTATTTTAAAGAAAAAAGATGCAGAATTATATGCTAATAATACCTCCATTTTGTAAAAATCTTTAAAATAAAATATATCCACATAATTATATATGATCATGTCTATGTATTTATAATGTATCTCTGAAAGAACACGTAAGACACCAGTAGCAGTGGTACGGAAGTGGAACTGATGACTGGAGGGCCCTGTGACAGAGACTTAGTTTTCAGTGCAAACCTTTTTGTACCTTTCTGATTTAGTATTGTGTACATTATCGCCTTTTTAAGAAATAAATTAAGCAATCTTAAGAGGGTTGGGAGGTTTAAACGGGATAATGTGTAAAAAGCCCTTCAGCACAATTTCTGCAGGTAGTAACACTAGCAAGTAGTGAGGTGAACGCTGCCTGGCACACACTCAGTGCTTAAGAAAGGTTGGTTTTCTTCCTCCTTCCAATTTTTGTAATTTATTCCTTACTTAACATTTAGAAAATAGAACAAGTTTACCAAGTACCTACTTTGACATAACAGATGTGATCCTAAAGTTGCTTTTAAATAAAAATGTAGCCAATTCACATTGATTTCTACTAAGATTCCAAAGGGAATATTCTCTTTTTTTTTAAACATCTTCATTGGAGTATAACTGCTTTACAATGGTGTGTTAGTTTCTGCTGTATAACAAAGTGAATCAGCTATACATATACATATAACCCCATATCTCCTCCCTCTTGCGTCTCCCTCCCACCCTCCCTGTCCCACCCCTCTAGGTGGTCACACAGCATGGAGCTGATCTCCCTGTGCTATGTGGCTGCTTCCCACTAGCTATCTATTTTACATTTGGTAGTATATATAAATCCATGCCACTCTCTCACTTCCTCCCAGCTTACCCTTCCCCCTCCCCTTGTCCTCAAGTCCATTCCCTATGTCTCTGTCTTTATTGTGTTAGCATGTGGTATTTGTTTTTCTCTTTCTGACTAACTTCACTCTGTATGACAGACTCTAGGTCCATCCACCTCAGTACAAATAACTCAATTTCGTTTCCTTTTATGGCTTAGTAATATTCCATTGTATATATGTGCAACATCTTTTTTAACCATTCATCTGTCGATGGACACTTTGGTTGCTTCCATGTCCTGGCTATTGTAAATAGAGCTGCAATGAACATTGTGGTACACAACTCTTTTTGAATTATGGTTTTCTCAGGGTATATGCCCAGTAGTGGGATTGCTGGGTTGTATGGTAGTTCTGTTTTTAGTTTTTTAAGGAACCTCCATACTGTTATCCACAGTGGCTGTATCAATTTACATTCCCACCAACAGTGCAAGAGGTTCCCCAAAGGGAATATTCTTGTGTACAATCTTTAGTTATGACTATGTCCCTGACCTTTTTAGTTGTAAGAATCCCTACTCCTTAAACTTCTCTGGAAGGTTAAGTAATTTGTAAATTAACCATCACATGTAGGACCACAGAAATACAAACAGTACTACTTGAATGTATTTATAGAGTTTCCTAGGCAGAGGAAAAGAAGAGAGAAAATACGAGGGATTAAAGAATACAGCAAAGTTTGGCTTAGAGAGAGAAAGCTTAGACAAAACAAAAAGCACAAACAAACTAGAAAACCCAGAGGGCCACTGATTTCTACTTTAATGTTTGCAAATACTCTGAGTACACCTGAACTCTCCAAGTCCATAAGCTTCTATGTTAGTAAAATATAAAGATCAGAGAATAAACTTTGCAGGATGATTTCAATGGGTAAATTGGGTTGGGTGACTGAGTAGAAAAATATGAGAGAATCCTTAGGTTCTCTCCATAAATGAGTATTACCACCTGCCAGTAATCCATGCAGAAAAAAAACAATCCTAATTGTGCAGGTTTAAAGGCCAAAGGCGTCAATTACCATCCAGGAACGGGATCTTAAAATCATGGTAGGCTATTTTTTAAAGATGTCAGCTGGCACAGCCAGAAAGGCCAAGATAAATGATGCACTTCATCAGCCAAGGTATCAGAGCATAAATTGAACTTGTTAACATATTCTTGAACTAAACCATGATGTATCTGTACCAGGAACACTTTGTATAATTTATCAGTTTACTGAATCTCAAAAATGAGAAGCAAGAAGTTAGAAAAGGAAGAGAAGCCCAGATGATCACAGAGACTAAATGAAGACAGATGGCAAGAGCCTGGTGATTAAGGTGCTCAATTTCCTGGCATGTATAATTCACCTATCAAACTGTACCATCCACTCCTCCCAAACTCAAACTCAACTCTAGAGCAGGCTGGTCTCCACTCCACCTTCCAAAATCACCTTAAATACTAAACTGGGCTCTTTTGCCTACTCCATTTTCAAAATCTTATCCATCCTAAAAAATTCCTTCAAATTCTACACCCACTGCCGCATACGACCTTCTCTGAGCATCCACTAACCCATTCCTTCTCTGATTCCCTAAAATGCAGACATCAGGGCTTATATTGCTTTAAAAAAAATAAGTAATTTTTTAAAATAAACTAGATTTAGACCATAATATAGGGTACACCCAGGTAGGTGCTTAATACCTACATAAGAAATAAGACATTATTGGACTTCCCTGGCGGTTCAGTGGTTAAGACTCTGCGCTTCCAGTGCAGGGGACGTGGGTTTGATCCCTGGTCAGGGAACTAAGGTCCCACATGCTGCGTGGCACAGCCAAAAGAAAGAAAAGAAATAAGACATC